AAACAGTTTTGCCAGCCGTGCTCTTTCGAAATAATTTTTACGTTTTTGTATCACTATTTAATAAATTGTTATATTTTTAATAAGATTGCTTGAGTGATTCCCAAAAAGTACATTCCCTATGGGGGTTGTTTCTTTCTCTTTGTTCTATAAATACTGCTGTGCTATTGACAGATTGCATCTGTGTTTTTTTTTGTTGATTTAATCCAAGGTTACCAATTTTGGGGTAAATTTAAAATGAGACTGACGGAGAGACCAGGCCTGCATGGTAGTGTAATATCTACACAAATAACATACAGTAATACCTTGGTTTACGAGCATAATTCGTTCCGGAAGCATGCTTGTAATCCAAAGCGCTTGTATATCAAAGCGAATTTCCCCATAGGAAATAATGGAAATTCAGATGATTCGTTCCACATCCCAAAAATATTCATATAAAATGATTACAATACTGTACTGTAATATAATAACGTATAAAATATAAAGAAAAATAAAACCAATTACCGGTACCTTTTGTGGCCGGTGTGAGAGGGACAAGAGAGAGGAGGATTATTGCGTAGGATGACTTTCACTATCACTAGCGGAATCACTGCTATCTCTTGACTCAATGGAATCTTTTTCATTTCGTGAAACCTTAACAAGGAATCTGTCCAATGTGACATTGCATTGTCGTTAAACAGACTCATCGCTCGCACTGCTACAGCCTTATTCGGGTGGCGCTTTTCTACAAAATTTTGCTCTTCTTGCAAGACATTTGCTTGTATATCAAAGCAAAATTTTTCAGAAATGTTTGCTTGTCTTGCAAAACGCTCTCAAACCAAGTTACTTGTAAACCAAGGTATTACTGTATTTAAAGAAAAAGACACTAAAATGCATATTTTGAGTAGAAAACATATTTTAATTTATACATATTCCACATATGACATATCTTTCATGATCTCTGACACAGGCTACAGAATACAGATACATTTCCTCCTCTTCCATTGCATGTGGCCAGTAAGAAGAGCATGCTAAAATATTACGCACTCACTCACTGCCTGTTTGAACAGTACAAAAATAATGTGCAAAAATAAATTCTGAATAGCAATGTTCATAGAAGGTTACTTCACAAAGTTGTACAAACATGAGGAAATACAGTTAATTATTCACATGGTTGTTATATTTTATTCAGAGAACACGTTCTAGGTTGTTCTAGCCACCAGAACATACTGTACTGGTGGCCATTTTGTGAGTTAAATTAGTCATAAGCCTCAGTCTATAAATCCATGTCCTGGTTGCATGACTGAGGTGACATCACAGTGATATTTGTTTGATATTTGGTTTATTAATATTATTGATTTAGCAGACAAAAACGGCTGCTTTCATCTTATTTATAAAAAAAACTCACAAAACAAGATTTGCAATTAGTGGCATTGCTTGGTCTATTCTACTCAGAAACAAATCTGTACATTTATATAAAAATTGCATTTTATTATACAAAAAACAAACATTATCGTATAACACATCAGTTAACTGTATACTTCAAAGTTACCTCAGTGCAAAATGCACATTGTCATCAAATGAGAGAGCTTCAGGCCCTCGGCCAAAGGCAGAAACACAGCTTATATTGAAAGTAATATTATCAGTACTAACCAAGTCCCTTCTGTCAAAAGACAAGGGGCACATTTATAAAGCAGTAAATGAGGCATTCATCAAACATTGACTGCAGGTGAATCCATTTTAAATAAATGCATCTGGAGGAAATACATTGCGTAAATGTTTAAAGGAGAACTATGGGGCAACCTTTTTTGCCCATAGTTCTTTTCAGGGTCACGGGAGGACATATACTGATGTCCTCCGGTGACCCAAAACTTAGCATATAGTGGGTTATCACACGCTATATGCTGAGAGCGCAGAGCCAGGCTGCAGCCAGGACGGATCCTAACAATACTGTCGAGATCCACCCAACTGGCTGATTGACAGCTGGCTCTGCCTCTCCAGAGGCAGAGCCAGCTGTGCCTGCCTCCTCCCCCGTCCGTTCCTCCAGTCAGCACTGGATAAAAGGGAAGGTGGCGGAATCCCTGTGGGGAGCAGTGACTGACAGTCACCGCTCTCTGCAGGGAGATGATCGGGAAGTCACCGATCGGTGGTATGTGTTCGCTGACTTCCTGATCAATAGAGACCCGACCTGTGACAGCTTCAGTGTCACAGGTTGGCTTGAATTTTTGGGGATGAGTGTTTTTCACTCACCCCATAATTCTCCTTTAATGAATGCCACATTCATCAAACCTTTTAAATATACCAGACTGTTCTTCATTATTTAAAATACAATGGAAAATGCACTTGACCTGACCACACATGGGCTTTTGCAGACAGTGGGGCAGCTGAATCTGTGACAAGAAGAGTCATACATCAATATGACAAATGAAAATTCCAGTCTTTTGGCATTCAAGATGAATGGTTAGGTCACACAGGACAGAGTAGTAGCAGTCATACAAGGACTAAACGCATGGAATCATATTATATATCGCTGACCACATGTTTTCACCCGGTTGTTTGGTGATCTATTGTGACTGATCGTGATTTACCAGAGTTTTTAGTTTATACATGCTCTGTTCTTGCCAAGTATATCCAAAAAGTCTTTGGAGCTTACAATGAATATTTCTTATTTAATATCAATAATATCAAATATTTTCATATTATAGATGTAAAATATGGACCTGATTACCAGTGCGATATTTGACTTTTAACTAGGGTTGCACAGATACCAAGTACAGTACTCGGTACAAGTACGAGTACATGTACCGATACTTTTGAGCTCCAAGACTAGACTAGAGAAAAATGCAAAAATTTGGAGGCAGCTGTCATGTGTAAGGAGCACACGGAGCTCCTGGGATTTGTACATATCTGTTTTAATGTACGATTTTGTTTTTATCAATATAAATAAAGGGATGCACAGATACCAGTTTTGCGAGTACGAGTACTGGTACTTGCCGAGTACTTACAAGTACGAGTACTGATACATTTTTGTTTATTATCATGTGACAGTTTTTCTAAAACAATACAGACTAATGATTTCAGGACAGTGGTGGAGCGCCAGAGTCAGGTCCCAGCTGCAACCGCTGCAACCCTGGTAGTTCTCATGAAAATGCCAAGTATCTGCACTGGTACTCGAAAAGTATCTGTGCATCCCTACTTTTAACTGATATTGCAGAACAACAGGCTGTTGTATAAATATTGCAGACCCTGCCAATATATTGTAATTCATAGACTGACCAGTTTGTTATCTCACATCAACCTCCTAGCAAACTCCAGATATCTAATAAAGGGCGTTCCTCTATGGAATGTTTGTAACTTGCCCTAGTTTTCCCCTTCATATGTTATATACACAGCACATCATTACTACAAAAAAAAAAGTAAGCTCCCAGAAACATAATCAATGTAGAGACTATTCAGCAATCCAATGCTTAGGAAAGGGTCTCATCTCTACTCTCTGTTCTGCATATTGAAATCATATTTACACAGCAGCTCTTGGCAACACGTGAATTTAGTCAATGATTCTCTATTGTCCAGAGAGCATTAAAACTCAAATGAGTCAAGCCAAGTGTCTAACAAGTGCTAGTGGGTTTGGAGCTTCTACCCTTTTTCTTTTTATAAAGCTGGATTCACACCTAATTGACACCTATTAAATGTGTTTTACACATGTCTTCTTTGATCGTTTTTTGCGCACGTATGTTAAGTCGTGTGTTTTTGTGAGCAGATATTGGCACTTTCGTGTGAATGTGCAAAATGCGCTTAAAACGTGCCCAAATGGCAGGGGTTGAGTGTTTTTACGCCCTGAATCAGCTGCGACAATACGCCTAGGTGTGAACAGGTCCTGAAAGTTGGCAATGATCTTACCAAGAGTGGAGCTGAGAGGGAATACTTAGCCTGCCATTCACATGGCTTAGCAGATGTGTCCAGATTAGTGGTCACGGCAGTTTTTAAACAGTGGGGTGGCTTGGAGAGTTACAGCTATGCCTGATAAAAAAATGAAGTCATGAGTAAGTACTCTCTGTGCCCTGTATGCATTTCAAGGCTTTATTTTTAGTTTTGACTGAGAATGTGCCTTTTATTTACAGTTACTTTTATTTCTTAAATTATTATATAGCTGTGTTTGATCTGATTGAAAATACAATGCAACCCATTGCAATGCTTGAGAAGTTCCGTAAATAGAGCAAAGGATAGAAGAATTTACTGTACATAATCACAATAAATGTAGAGTAATTAGAAATGAGATTCTCATTTTAAATTCCTCTCATGAATTATACTACATCTTGGTTTTTATTTAAGAGTTGCAGGACCCTAAACATATGCTAATGTATTACTGTCGACGTAATAGAGAGCAAAGTGGCATATGGCAGTGATCTATATAAAGAAGGCACAGCAAGCTTATCCTTCTGTCGTGGGCATAGGCCAATAAAGTGCTGCAAGCCCATGTCAACCAAATAAATGTAATGGGACTTGTTTACAGAAACATATATAAAGAAAAGACAATCAAAAGATTGCTAAACTTGAGAACCGAAGTGACTAATCTGTTGCTTTTAGCTATGGTCTGACTAGTTGCTAGAGCCATCACTAAAATATAATTCTGTGCTTTTTCAAGGACAAAATAGCAAATAAATACATAAGATCTGATATTTTAGGAACATGTTGTAATTAGCTGACAGATGACATCTATGCTCCGTCAATTTCCCTCACATCGGTCACTGTTATGGCAGTGTGGTTATTAAGTGTGCATTCTTATATAGGGAATAATACATTCTCCTGGGTCTATATATCATAGTTGCTGTCTTTGGGACAAAGATAAACTACCACATACACCTCTTTAAGCATTGCATTTTGATCATTAGTGCTTCCTTTAATCAGGCAGCAAAGAAAATTGCCGCTTGTGTTCATTCTACATATACTTTATTCTCATTCATACACCTTCTTGTTAATGCTACCCTTTAAGAGCATAGGCACTCTTCTTCATTTGAATTAAACAATGAAATTCTTCTCTTCTTAAAATCCTTTATAGCCTTTTTAACAGTCTTTTACCTATTGGATATAACCTTGCACCAATGCAATCCCTTAACAAGTAGTCCTAGAAAGTGATGGTTCTGAATGTCCTAAATGGTCTGCATATTCTGCCTTTCCCAGTAAAAGGCCTGATCTTCACCTACAATTAACCCGGTAATGTTAAGGCACTGTGTGCCTCATTCAGTTTCCCCTCAGCTGAAGACTGCTAAAAGCATGCTGCATCCAGCTGCTGACATCAAGGATGGAGAGGTAACAGAAGAAATTGTCCATTTTGAGTAGCAAACATACAGTGAAGTAGGTGTGAGTTTGTCTTGGAGATTTACTGTCTCCTTTTCTTATGTTCTTTGCAAGTCACTCTTGACAAACAGGCGGCTGTGCCAATAGTCTGGATTATCGAATGCACAGTCTTTCACTTCAAGTTCACGAAGGGGTTGAATGTACCCTTTATGCAGTGCCTCTCTGTGGCATGTTTGTGGGATCACTGTAGGTTTGTCCAAGGACTTGGGGTGGCTGGCAATTAAGTTCATGTCCTCATAGCCCTGTTTTTCATCTGTGGTGCTGTTCATTCTTATCCGGCTATTTCGATTCATGTAAGTATACTCCTCTGCATCTTCACTGATCAGGTCCTGGCTATTGCTTCTTCTCTGTTCATTCATATATTCATATTCCTCCTTGTTCCCATAGTTGTAATCATCATCTTTATTGTCCTCTCCTGTAGATGTTTTGCATTCACTGCTTGCATCTCCTGCTCCTCGTATGTCCATGTATTCATACTCCAACCTCTCAGATGGCTGCCTTTTTCTGTTCATATATTCATATTCATCATCATCATCATCATCTTCACTGGGCATGCATGGCGTCAGAGACCTGGATTCCAGAGATTTCAGTGTACTGTCCCGGGAAATGTCTGTGAGAACAGAAATGATCAGTTTTAGCTATGTGAGTACTGTATGTGATGTTTATATTAACAAGTATAAGTTTTATATGATCTTGAGTTCATAAAATTATGATTTGTATATTTAACTTAGCTTACTTCCCTTCATGCTGTGTCTAGTTCATGCTATAGCCCTCCTACTCTACTTAATGGCTCCACCCAATGAGAGTCGTAGTGCAAAGTGACCTGTGTCCTTGTAATATGAGTTGCATAGTAGCACCCAGTGGCGTCACAAGGGGGTTTGCGGCCCGCACCCGGGTGACACCTTTGGAGGGGTGACACCAAAATGACTTACAGTCATTATGGTGTCACCCCCCTCTGAAAAGTCGGGCGCTCGGTCATGGCCCGAACGCCCGACAGTATCAGGAGAGAGGAGGGGACCCGGCAGCATACCTTATCCCACCGGGTGACTGTCCCCTCCTCTCTCTGCCGGCGTCCATCACCAAGATGGCCGCCGGCAGGTATCAGAAGACTGCAGCGCGTGCACGATGACGTCACGCGCATGCGCGGTGACGTCTCGGTGGGGTGACACTGGGCCCCTGGTAGCACCTAATGTATAACCTGCCTAAGGCCTCATGCACACTATGTACCAAAACGCTGAGTTCAGGTACGTTTTTAGTTCATTCCGAAACGCACCTGGACTCATGTAATGCTTTTCTATGACTGAATGCACACGTAGGCATCCAGCAGCGTCTAGGTCAGTTTACCCAAAGACCAGTTTTATGCTGCTGAACGCGTGTAAATGCATGTGAGCACATATCAATGTGACTAGGCCCAGCACAGAAAAAAGTTATCTGGGAAGCATAAGGTTGTTTATACTAACCAGATACATTCTATTGGGCTTAAACGCAGCGTGCTAGTGTGCATGAGGCCTAAATCTGAGCTCAAAAACCATGTTTAATGGGCTGCATACAAGCACTCTGTGTGAAGGAAAAGGTCACCTTACAAAAACAGTAATTTTTCTGAAATATAGTAGGTATATATATTTTTATTTTTGTTATTAATTATTCTTACTGTAAAATTATAAAGTGCAGACCCATACATACCTCCTTGGCTGAGCTGTGGCATAATGTACTCGCTATCTGTATCTGGTGTACCAGGAAGAAGGCTTTCCCTTTGAGAACGATAGGCGCTGTCCAGGCGAGAGCGGGAACTTCCACCACCATATGACATGTATTCTGCCGTGTCCATATCAGATAAGGTACAAAAGCCCTCTGATGACTCTGATACTGTACGGCCCAAGGAGTCCTCCCTTCTTCGCATTCCCCGTCTGGGAACTGGGTCAGCTCGTTGCACAGAGCCCTAGAAAAAAAAATAAAAAAGATCAACTTTCTCTTCTAATACTGCTGAGCAAAATCTGTACACCTCTATGATATCCACTGACATGATCAGACAACTATTAGGGTGTTTACAAGGAACAGCAGACTGAGTCGGCGATAACTGTCAACATAATTCTGGCAAACAGTGATGGTGGCCACCTGTACTGAGAATGAGGTCTGTTCTTAGCAGGATGCTATTGAAGGGAGGAAAGAGCAGAATCCTCCCTCCAGCAGCTATCATGGCCTCTGCACACTGTTTTTCAGCTGTCTGAATAAGAGCAGGGACAGCAGCATCATTCCTTTATTCAGGCAGCTGGAGAAAGCAGTGCCAGCAAGCATCCAGCATTCCCCATGCCCACTTCACATAAAAGGACCCAAGGCAGGTGCCTTTCCCAAGCCTAGTTGCTCTGTCCCTTTCATTCAGCTACTGGGAACAAAGAAAAATGCCCAGTGCTTACAAGTATAGGGAGCATGTGACTCAATCCCCTTCACATGCGACAGCACTGATGCTTGCAGATTGGCCACCACTGCACCTGGGAGTGTCACATGGGGACAGGCCAAGGACCCTCATCCTTTTGTAAGTTTCAGATAAAAACTTAGAGTTTACTCATGGCGAATTCACTTTGCTCCCATTGGCCATAAGCATCAACAGCATCTACCCAGGATACCGTGACTGTCTGGTGTAGAGGACGGCAAGGCTGGGTCCTGGAAGGCAGGTATATATCACCACTGTTTGAATTGTGGTCCATTTAAGGGCCACCAGGGGGTTAACCTTCCTGCCACAGGTCTGCAACTCCCAGAGAGGAGTGTGGGACTTGAGGAGAAAGTGATTAGATGTGGCTAAGGTGAGAAGGAAACCTGCTAGATTACTGTGTTGCTGTGCTTCAGAACTAATATTCCTGGGAAGGGATTTCCCCAGGTTTGGAACTTTTGTACAACAAGTCGGTGAGACACCTTTATGTTTTGTTATCTGTGCCGAGATTTGGACTTTTACTTTGAGTTTGCTGAAGATAAGCAATTTATAAGATAAGTGTATTTTGTGTTTGCTGTTTCTGGCTGGCCTGCAAGAGGAAACTGAAAGCTTTTGTTTTATGCAAAGTGCTCTGTGAGCTCTCCAACTTCACACTGGAATCTCACCAAACTTTAGATTTTCTGTCAATATGGTTGAAAGATCTTTTCAAATATGATTTTGGTCAAAGTGACTAGATCTGGTGAAGCTGACTTTTTTGCAATGGAAATATAGTATAACCCATTCTTTGCGGGATTATCTCATTAATATCATTTAGAGATACTTCAAAAACTATTCTAGGAGATAATTTGGGAATATTTATCCTGATACGTTTTGCTGAATGTGCCGAGCACCATCATTTCCCCTCATTCCTGTACATAAATATATAAGCATTGTATAAACACTGTACATAAACATAGCAGACACATTATAATGGTGGAGCCAGAATAGAATTTTCTTGTTACGGTTTTTGTAAATTCTTTATAAATGTTTGCAACTGGTTACCTTTTTAGTAACGCTGCCAGTGGTCTGGTTCATTGGAAGATACCCAGCAAGAGAACTTTGCACACTTTGACTCTGAAAAAAAGAGTATTCAGAAAATTATGCTGCTTCTGTTTGTAAACTTTTAAAAGGCAACCATACAATGCAGAATTTTCAGGCAGATCTGTTACTTTGAGGCCTAATCTGGAACTAATTGACTTACGTATGTTCAGATATCAATTAGGCCTGGTTCAGCTATCAATTAGGCCTGGTTCACACCTGGGCATTTTACAGCGCGTTCCTACGCTCTGTAAAACGCTCAACATGTGAAAACCAATGATTGCCTATGGGCATGGTTCCCACCTGGGCGTTTTACAGCGCGTAGGAACGCGCTGCAAAACGCCCTACGCCCAAAGAAGTACAGGAGCTTCTTTGGAGCGTATTTGCCGCGCGTATCCATTGGGATACAGCCAGGTAGCTCTCGGAAACGCGTGTTTGTCATGCGTTTTTTTTTACCACGAATCGCGGTAAAAATGTGTGACAAACGCGCATATTCGATACGCCTAGGTGTGAACCCAGCCTTAAGCAGTACAGAAAAGCTAATTACATAATCACTACCCATAGACCTTAGAGGCCAGTTAGTTTTGTAGGCACAATTTGACCTCCCTCAGGGCACATTATTGCCAGAGCAATGCAGAGTGCTCTATAAACTTGTTGAACTGAGTTTACAGTTAGCTTCGTTAAGAGGGAAAGTAGGACGCCAGCAACAGTTCATCAGTGAAAACAATAGTTATTGGAATAGGTTTCCTTGCTTGCCTGATCAACTGTTCCCACATCAACAGGGACACCTACAAATATGGAATCTCACTCAATCTCTATGTCTCTTTCTCTCTAAGTTGGGTATGTTTGTAGCGTAATCAAAAAGCACTTTGTGTCTACCTTTTAAATACTAAGGTTTTGGCAATACCTGTAACAATCACTGGCACATCTCTTTGAAAAGTCCCAAACTGGATTTTGTGTTGGTCATGACTCATGACCAAATGTCAAATCTGTTTGTGTAAACTTAAACTGGCATTCCAGCTAAAACTTAGGAAAAAACCTGGCAGTGGTTTTTGTTATATCCAGCATTAGAAAGGTTACCCCTATTTTCAGTCTTATTGACCCCTGCCTTTTGGAGAGATAAAATTATTTATGCCGCTGGGCAATCAGATGTTTTCCTGTTTCCTCTCCCACTGTCCACATCGGAGTGTGGAAGGAACGGATGTCTTAATGCACCGTTGGAAGTTCAGCATGGCCTATGCATTTCCTTTACTTGCTCTGATAATGAGGTTTTTGTCGAGGCTCCTCAGAGAAAACATTACTATTCTAGCAATTCTTCCTTACTGGCCCCAAAAAACGTGGTTCCCTTTTGCTGTTCACCTGAGTCTCTGTCCTTTGATACCCTTTCCAACATTCCCCTTGTTACTGTCTTCATGCCTGGAAATTGGCAGGAGGCGGCTGGAAGATCTAGGATGCTCTTCGGCAGTCATCAACACTCCTAAGAGCCAGAAAAGGCTCTACTAACAATGTGTAGTCGAATTTGGGACAAATTTGAAGAATTTGCAGCCAGCCAAGGCTTTAACCCTACTTCCCGATCAGTACGACATCTTGCAAAAATGTCTGGAGTTAGGTCTTAGTATAAATTCCTTGAAGGTTCAAGTCTTGGCTATCACCACTGCTACTAGAGTAAGATGGTCTAATGATCTGCTGATAAGTCAGTTCCTGAAGGCTGCCCTACAGATCCGTCCACCCAGAAAGAGTTTCCTCACCCAGTGGGACCTATCACTTGTTCTAGATATGCCTGCAAAAGAGCCTTTCCTTTTGGGACATCACTAACAAAGCTGTCTTTCTAATAGCTATATCCTCCAGCAGAAGAATTTAACAGTTGCAATCTTTGGGTTTTGCACATCCTTATATCTGCTTCTTCCTTGATAGGGTGCAGCTGCGCACATTGCCTCATTTTTTGCCCAAGGTAGATTCAGTCTTCCGCCTATCCCTGGATTGGGTGCTACCAGTTTTCCCAGCAGATTCTTTAAATTTAAAACCTGCACAAATTTGATGTGTCCAGGACACTGAGGGTCTACTTTGCAGCAACAGCTTCTTTTCGATCATCAAAGACTTTGTTTTTTATTCCAGATGCAAAATATAGGGAAGTGGGAGCCAAGACAAGAACTCTTTGTGGATCGTAAAGATCATAAAGAGAGTGTATAGGGTAAGCGGGCATGATCTTCCTGTTCCGGTGAGGGCTCATTCTACGAGATTTATGGTGGTGCTGTGGGCAGCGCACACTGACGTTTCCCTGGAGACGATCTGTAAAGCAGCAACCTGGTCTTCATGCCATACCCTCCTGCAGCACTACAAGATGGACCCAAGTGTGCTGACGACAGTTGAATTTGGAAAAAAAGACTATTGAGGCTTCTATCGCTGTTTAAAAATAACATTTTCTATCATTTAGCATTCATCGCACCCTGTCAGCTTGTTATTTATCATAAGTATGCTGCTATGTAGGCAAATGGAAAATTGTATCATACTTACTGTAATTTTCCTTTTTCCTGGTGCCTATCCATTGCAGCAAAACTTTCCTCCCTTATGTTAGCCTGAGTATAGTTATGAGAATGTGGTCCTGTAGGGGGGATAGGGGCGCAGCTCTATCATAAGTATGCTGCTAGGCACCAGGAAAAGAAAATTACAGCAAGTATAATAAATGTTTCTGTTTTTATTGCCTCCCGAGCCCTCACTGGAAAGATTTCACTTCCTGTCCCAGTGACATGGGATGGATAGAGCAATACAAATTAGAAGTACTAACTCATTTTCCCACCCTTTGGAAAAAAAAAAGTACCGTATCTGGAATTTTACTAAAATCACAAATGTCATCAACATTGATATTATTGCTGCACAAACAACTGCAATCTAATAATATTAAATATTACTTTTCCACTTCAAGCTCACAGCTATGATTTTTGTGATACATGCATTCAGTGGTCATTATTAATAGGACTGTTTGAGTGCATATTCTTAATGCCAAAACGTTAGCAGTAAGGAAGGTTTCAGCAAAAGCATGGGGAAGGATTCTCTCATTATCCATGAGACAGAATTTGTTAAGGATCTTTGTCAAAATACCCTCAATGTATATACTGTAGAAGCTGAATACCTGACTTTTTTTTTCTTTTTAAGGCCTTACCCTTGAATAGTCTATTCTCTGCCGTGATGTATAGACAGTGCTGGGAGTTTTAGGATGTGAATTTATATCTTCATCTTCCTCTGTGTCTAAATCGGTATCCACCTCCTCCACTTCTTTCTCAGTCAGTGCTGGCTGTTCTGCGAAGACAGGAGACTGTGGAACTTCACTGTCCCGCTGTTCAAAAGAAAAAACACACATTTCAGATGCCATATTACATCAAGGAACACCTGGTCCTTTCTACAAACTACATACAGTATATGCAACCAAAGTATTTTGTATGACAGACTTTGGAGTTTCCAACTGGAAAGGCGTATTCAGTATGGCCCAGAGCAACTACAACAAAAAATATATAAACCATAGCTACCAATTGGAATTTGCATATCACCAATTCAGTAAACTGAATTGTTATGGTCTGCTATGCTACCATTTTGTTGCTATTTTTTGCACATAGAAATTTGATGTATGCCACGCTTATTGAGTAAACCCAAATATCTTCTGACAATGTGTATTAAAACTCCAGCTGTTGAAAACATCACAAATCTGTGACTGGAAGCAGAGTGCAAAATTCAGTTTCAAGGTATATTCAAACATACAATCTGCAAAGATAGTCAAAATACTTTACTTTCAGGAGCACAATAAACACAAAAGACATGAACTAAAAGATTGCTATAGATCTGTAGTTTACAACTTGGACATAACACATCATAGTCCTACATGGTTTGTATATACTGTTCATAGATTTAGAAAGATCTTTGTGAACGAAAGGTAAGTGCTGATGTGAATCAGTAAAACCACAGCTTTTTATGTAATGAAATAAAAATCCATATTGACATAACAAATGAACTAGGAGTCAACTTCCAAAGAATGCAGCTTGGGCAGTCGTGCTAGTTTAAGGGAAGGCATCTCACCTTTATGACCAGGTACCGAGGTGGATCTCGGGCCATACGAGTGAATTCATTACCCAGTTCTTTGAATGTTGGCCGAACATTTTCATCAATCATCCAACCTAAACATGGCACATGAGAAAATGTTAGTGTTCCTACCATGAAGAAAGCAGTTCTAAAATATACAAGTAATAGGCCAAGGTATCTTGGCCGTGTTTGTGGGAGGAGTTGCGGCGGCTCTCCTCCCCTTAAGAAGGGTGACAGGGAGCTCCTAGGCACGTCACGGCGAGGTCGCGCTTGACCCTCCCGCTCTTCCCCAGGTTCTATCATTTCACTAGAGCGTGCCCCCTTATTTGGCATGCTGACCATAAAATTATGGCACACATCAGGTTGGTATCAGTAGGGGTCATGAAGACTTCGGAAGCCTAAGTAACTCTGACCACAACTAGTATTAAGCAATGACTCACATTTCACCATGACCATGTAGACATCAATGGTACAGATAACTGGCTGGGGAAGCCTCTCGCCTTTTTCTAGGAGATCTGGCACTTCAGACAAACGAATACCTGGATATGGCTCATCTCCAAATGTCATCATTTCCCACAATGTTACACCTATATGAGAAAGCAGCAAATGCAGTTTATATTAAATATCGACCATGAATCTTTAGGCCTGAATTGGCAATTCCTGAGAATACTTGTGGGCATCTGTGATCTTGTGTACATTCTGAGAATGGGTCCAATAGTGAATTGGATATGGCCAGTGCATTGAACATTATTACTACATCACACTTAGCAAAATGTGGTCACATAAAAAATGCCAGTATGCTTTATATGGTCGGGCCTGGGGATATCAGTATAATACATGAAATGAAACAATATGATTTATACACTTACCGTAACTCCACACGTCACTTTGATGAGTGTATTTGCCAAAGTGTATGCTTTCCAAAGCCATCCATTTAATGGGTGTCTGTGTAGGGTGCAATGAAAAAGGAACACACATTAGTGGCAGTTTAACAGAATAAAATAATAATGATTATTGTATTAGGATATAAACTTGCACGTTAAAAGTGCTAAAAGAGCACCAGAAATAAAAAACGCCTTCATATGTACACACACGCTTTGCATACTGCTCCAACAGCTCCAGTGATCTGATGTGGACATGGCAAATTTAGGAGCCCACTTTACCTATGTGGCAACAAGGGGTCAGGAGAGGAAAAACTCAGGGTTAGGCTTTGATTCTTTGCAAACTAACCTCTCCTGCGCTTGTATCCTGTGCGTTAAAGACTAACCCTTCCAGTGTCAAAACGATTTTGGTGCTGCCTTACATTTATTGATTCACTTTAAGGGTTTGTTCACACCATTGAGTTTTTCTGCATACCACCGCACATGTATGATGTAAACAGGGCCTATAGAACAACGTTGTTTTTCTAGCTGCCCTGTTGATACTATCCATGTGCAGTTGTATGCAGAAAAACACAGTTCAACGGCCATGGAGTGAACAAACCGTTAAAGTGACCACAGGAGTACCCTTAACCAGTGTTTCTCAACCTTTTTTTCTTTTTACTCCCGGCACCTTTTAAAAGTATGCAAAATCTCAAGGCACCCAGTCTAAAATGTTTTATATTCTAAGGGGGGCAACACATAAGAACACACAAAAAAGTGGCAAGAAACCCTGGTTGAGAAATGTTGCCCTAAACTATCACCTGAACTGTACTTGCATAGTGCATTCTTCTCAATTAGTCAATATTCTATGGAACTGTACAAAATAATACTCCATTAATAAAGTCAAAATATGAAACAATACATTTAGGATCAGAATGTCTCTTGTTGCAGATATCTACTTAGGACCAACATTTAGCTCCTAGTACATAAAAGGTTGATATTAAAGAATATTAAACTCTTTAATAATGGTACCTTGATTTCATTGTAGCAATATTTCTTGTCATCTGGGTACAACAGATCTGCCACACCAAAATCTGAGACTTGCACGTGATTGGTTGTTTTCATGAGGATGTTGCGAGCTGAGAGGTTTCTGTGAACCATGCGATGTTCCTCCAGATAATACATGCCCTGTACAAAAATAGAGGGCCATAAATAAAGAAGACACAAAAGGCTATGGCAGTTCCCTAACTATTCTGTATTCCAAATATAAGACAAATGCTTTTAGTGCCAGTCTGGCATTACAATTAGTAGTCTCATGCTTTGACAGGAGGGGGGGCTGAATAAAGATTATTATATGACTGTTAGCTCCCTAGCTCTGTTATTATTATACAGGATTTATATAGCGCCAACAGTTTGTGCAGCGCTTTACAATATAAGTAAGACATTACAATCACAATACAATTCAAGACAAGATGGAAATGGAGGGCCCTGCCCATGAGGGCTTACAATCTAAGCGAGGAAGGGGCAAGTGATGCATGAGGAGGTAGCTGTGTGGGGATGAATTGTTTGAGAAAGTGATAGTTCAGTGGTTAGGTTGAGGTGGGATAGGCTTCCCTGAAGAGATGAGTCTTAAGGGATCGCCTAAAGGCAGTCAAGGTGGGAAATAGTCAGACAGGTTGGGGTAAAGAGTTCCATAGGTTGGGGGAGACTCTAGTGAAGTCCTGGAGGCGAGCATGGGAGGAGTTGACGAGGGAACTGGAAAGAAGGAGGTCTTTTGAATTAATAAATTAATAAGCATTTATCAAATACTGTTATGGACAGCTTAAAAATAGTTTTTGTTAGTCATGTATTAATTATGTTTTATTTTCTACAGCTGTATTTTCTTTCTCAAAGGGTAGCAATAATATTTTTTTTGTTTAGTTTGATATACAAGTAATGAAAATAACCTCATCATGTGACAGTTTAATGTACTTGTGACATGTTTACATGAAAGTATAACTAAAGGTGTGGCCCTATTAGGGATATTCACTCTCTCTAACTTCCCTGACCAACAATCTCTTATGGAATAAAAGTGAGAATAAATCCAACATTTTGAATTGTCACCAGAACAGTAATAGAGGAGACATTTCCACTGGGAACCGTATTTCCAATGACAACTGTCTAAGATGGGGTTTTGCACACATTGGAAAGATATCCTCTCATTTCCTGTTGAGTCTACAAGACAGAAAGTAAAGAGAAATCTCCCTATGGGGGACAGATAGCAACAAAAAAACAAAAAAACTGGTAATGGTTTTAACCTTTCCCAACTTTCTAAGTTGGCCCTCTGTGTATGCATGTGAGATAAGGACCTTAGATTGTAAGCTCCTTGAGGGTAGGGACTGATGTGAATGTGCAACTATGTAAAGTGCTGCGTAAATTGTCGGCGCTATATAAATACCTGTAATAAATAAATAACTCTATTTAAAATGAAAAAACACATAGGGGATACACATGGGCTGCTATCCTGTAGGAGCCATAGTAACATATGTAGAAATGTCAGGTTGTGCTGCTGTTTAGTAGAATGTTGGGTGTTAAAGTACCTGTCAATAAATTTATCAGACATGTATTGATTATATTTGTTATAGAAATTCCTTTTTTTATTTCACATCTTTATTGATATTTTCCTCCGCATTTACATGCAGATTAAACTGTCTTCCTTTTGTGTTAGAGCAGAACAAAATGTAATGCTGTTTGTGTTTAGATGCAGTTGTGCACAATTTGTGATATTTCTGTCATGTCTGCATAAAGAATTACTGAGTGGCTACTGCAAACTTTTCACATGCCTGATGCAATCTGCATCCATTTTTGTACTTACGTTCTCTGTAAGAATCTCTGGAAATATGCCTCATACATTCATTTTTAAAAAGCATGCTCTTGTTTCCACACAGTTAGTAGATCTCACCTTAGCAATCTGCACACACCAATTAAGCAGCATTTGAGGACCAATAGCACCGGTGTTCTTATTCTGGCGAATGTACTGCAGTAATGAGCCCATAGGGAGAAGCTGAGTAACCAACTGCAGCTGTGTTCCTGGACAGATACCCAATAATCGGACAATACAGGGATGATCCAGGCTTCCCATCGCCAACATATGCTGGAGAGTGAAGAGAAAAAGTTTAACGCTAGACTGTGACCTGTGACACAAAGACTGATGGCCTTATAATCTTTGTAGGTTGGCATAATCTTCATAGGCATTATGGCTATCCTTAAAACTTCTCACCCGTATAAGAAAGACATTTTAAATGACTATGATAAGATTACACTTAGGTCTGATTTAACTCTTGTTACAGATCCAGAGATTTCAGTAGGTGCAGTTCAGTTTCTCCTTAGCCATAAGTCACTAGGTCCAACTACGACTGGACACACCCTAAGCAACACCTTCATTTCACTGTGGCTACTGCTTTGTTAAAGTGTATCTAAACCTAAAAAACAAAATATATTGCTGTTACCAGTCCTTAATTGAGGTGCCTGCATGAGTTTTATTTTCACAGGCCTTTTCTCTTTATTTTCACCAGCTAATCCTGCAAATAACACACTTCCTGTTCTTGAATAGCAATCCTCAGAAATATGAAGATAGGTCACCAGCACTCAAACATGCAAGGAAATTATTGTTTATTGCAAATAATGTCACATAGGTCAAAATAGCCAACTTTTCGGGGCTGTGCAGGGTCCCTTTCTCAAGGCGACACAGTGACGGTCACTGAGTCACCTTGAGAAGAGTACCCAGCGTGGCCCGCCGAAATGTTGGCTATTTTGACCTATGTGACATTATTTGCAATAAACAATAATTTCTTTGAGTTTTGGAGTGCTGGTGACCTATCTTCAAATGCTGTTTAATGTTGAGCAGACACTTTCAAGAATAAGTAGCTATCCTCACGTCTCCACTTTATCTATGGAGGGAGCTATGGTTGTCACCCAGGCTGGACTTTAAATATGTTGGCCTCTGTTTATCTCTATTACATTGGGGCTGAGCTCACAGGAATTGACAATTCTTTTCTGGCAAGATTAACAGATATTTTCTGCACTTGCTGAAAAAGTTCCTAGCCCGAAAAATTCAAACTAATGCAGCCACCACATGTAAGTACTGGTAAGCTGCACAGTCAATATACACTGAAATAAAACGTGCGTTGACTTACATCTGTAACAGCGTGGAATGTCTGGGCTCCATTCCGGTCTTGTATAACTTTGATGCTGACTGGAATCTTAACAGAGTCTCCTTCTGGAATCCAAACACCCTACAAAGAATGAAGTGTGAGTGATCAAAGGAAGAAAACAGGGCAACAGAACAAATCAAGATCAGCGCACACCTGCAGACTTGTATGAAATAACATTTCCAGTGAAAAATATCATACCTTGTGTACAGTGCCAAACACCCCAGAGCCCAGGATCTTCAGTTTCTTCAGCTCAGTGCATTTGAATATACGAGCTTGAACTGTATTGGACTTTTCTGAGGGGTCCATCATTTCAGGGCACTGTTGATAATTTTAGATTATAATTAATTTATTATTCTGGCAGCCAATAAGATAGGCAGAGTTTCCAGGTGTCTAATGTGGTTAAATGTGATCAAAAACAAAGATATTTAGCTTAAAGCTCAACTCCAGGCAAGAAAGTAAAGACACAGCATGTTTATATATA